ACGTTTTGTAAAATCTCTTAAATTAACGAAACCTTCCTCTTAGTCACCATTTTTTCTGTTATTAATCTGACTACCTAGTTTTCTTTTAAACAGTTTTACTATTTTATCAATAACACTAGACATATATATTTAGTTGCTTAATTATAAACTTGTGGACAGCTAGGATTCAGCTGGACGATCTAAACTTCGTAGATGATCTGGCTCTATTATCGCTACACACAACAATAAATGCAGGAGAAGACGATCAGTGTAGCAGCAACCTCAGCAGCATTAGGTTTCAACATACACGAAGGGAAAAGTAAGATTCTCCGATACAACACAACATGCATCAATCAAATCCCACTTGATGAAGAAGCTTCGGAGGATGTAAAAACCTTTACATATCTGGACAGCATTATTGATGAGCATGGTGGATCTGATGCAGATGTGAAGGCGCGGATCGGAAAAGCAAAAGCAACATATCTACAATTGGAGAACATCTGGAAGTCAAAACAACTGTCAACCAACACCAAAGTCAGAATTTTCAATACAAATATCAAAACAGTTCTACTGTATGGAGCGGAAACTTAGAGAGCTACGAAAGCCATCATCCAGAAGATACAACTGTTTATTAACAGTTGTCCACGCAAAATACTTCGGATCCGTTGGTCAGACACCATCAGCAACAACCTCTTGTGGAAGAGAACAAACCAGGTTCCAGTCGAGGAGGAAATCAGGAAGAGGCGCTGGGTGTGGATAGGACACACATAGAGGAAAACACCCACCTGTGCCACAAAGCAAGCTCTCCTTTGAAATCCTTAAGGCCAAAGGTGAAGAGTAAGACCGAAGAACACATTACACTGAGAAATAAAGACAGACATGAAAAGAATGAACAACAATTGTATAGAACTAGAAAGGAAAGCCCAGGACAGAGTAGGTTGGAGAATACTGGTCGGTGGCCTATGCTTTATTAGGAGTAACAAGCGTAAATAAGTAATTATAAATTCACTTAATCCTTATTCTTAGGTAGCAAGCTGTTATAATTGGCCGATTAGGTAATCAATCTTATCTTTAGAATATATTGAAATACATAGTAAGATAGACTAATCACCACTTATACGGTATTGATATTATTCTTCAGAGTAATACCTAAATGTTAATGTAGAATCTTTACAAAGAACAAACTGACAAAGAAAGAAATCTCTCATTGATCAATTATCATTTATAGTAATACAATTGATAGATCATATCGAAAAACTCAATAATATAACGCTTCTTATGTAAAACTTATTGTATAAGCCTATTATTTTACTTTATCAATGTTTATCATTACCTTCTCTCTAAGATAAAGCACAAATAATAATAATAATAATAATAATAATAATAATAATAATGACAGAATAGTCAACAATATAACAAATTGATTTTATTACATATTTAGTATCTATGGGATAGATCATTGAAGTAAACCAAACAGTAATTAAGTAATAGAATTTCATAATCCTTTTCATATATATGTATACAATACAATGTGACCAATGTGACCTCATTTGAATCCCCTGAAACATAAATAGAATATATAGGAATAATTTGTAAGAAATGATGTTTTATTCAATAGGGAAAATAATAATCGTTTAGATTAAAGAATCTATTTCTTTTATTATAAATATTCATCTTAAATAAACAAATGTATCCGTTTATATTGAATTAGGTTTAAAACATACTTCAATTGTAAAGATCATTAGAATAGTTTGTAAATTTTCAATTTAGTTTAAAAGATTGTAGTTCTAATCGAACTTTATAGTATTAGTTCTGTATTAGAATATATATTGAACTGATTTTATTGGATGGATAGTGGCTAGAGCAATGGAATTTGGGATGTACGTTTCGTCCTGTTTCGGACTCTTCAGCTGAATGTACCTACATCTAACTCTGAAACTCGAACATTATATCGTTCGTTTCAAACACCATCGCGTTATCTATTTATCTACTTAGTCCTGATAATGACTTGTTTGTGCAATAGGGTAAAGTTTAAATTCACTTGGTATTGTTTACCTGAATCTTCCCATTGATGTTTAAGACTGCATTATAAGCAAAGATGGATAGTGGTTCAAGTCCTAGAGTGAATAACAACACTGAGATGCGTGCAAATCCAGTTGACGAGTCTCATATAGGACAAAATGCGCGTCCTCCATTCCACTGCTAGCTACTATCTATCTTTATTTATAACGCTTGTAAATTAAGGCAATATGGAGCAATCCGTACAAGATGCACATATACTAATAACAGACTGATCAACTGTAGTCCTTAACATCAATGGAAAGATACAAGTGAAACAATACCAAATGAATTTGGATACAATAATTATTGATCTTCTATTGATATTAACATATTAATTCATTGAAGTAAGAAAGAATCATAATCTGATCAGTTTCTCTTCGATATTCATCAATGATTAGTGAATAGACAATTGGTAAATATGAAAGATAATATACTCGATGATTAATCATAAACACATAAACCAATCAATCAATATTTAATGCATAAATCAATAAAATCAGATTATGTAATCATTATGTAATCAACTTTCAATATCCCTATCAGTTACATTTGATTTATTACAATGAAATAAATCATGTATGTCAATTATAGCAATTAGATCTACCATCATATTTACTTTCTAATATAATTGACTTAAGTTAAATAATATTACATCTGTTAAGAGTTCATAAAACACCACTGATATTTTTGATTGAAATCATGAATTGATTGATGTTAGACCTGGAAGCAATGGATAACCGTTTCGTCCAGGTTTTCAATGATGGTCTATCATAAATCGGTTCAAGTTCTCAATCAAAAACTTAATAATCTCCACAAGCTTATACTGATAATCACTGTAGTTATGTGTCGTTTATACTATATTACTGAGATCATTTTAGTAGTTTCATAATTATTGATTGAGATTGAAACACACCCACACACATACATTTATGATTGTATAACTGTATTTACCGTTTACCCAATGGTCAATATAACTGATATTATCAAATTTTGATATTCATACATATAATATGGTATTATTTTTTATCACTATGATCTAGACCTATCCAGTCTCCAACGGTGTTGAGAAATAATATATGGTCAAGTAAATTGAAGAATGAGAGGGAGCAGAATATAAAAATTTGAATATTTAGAAAGAAAAACTCGGTCAGTCAGTCAGCTAAGATGTAGGACTATTCTCATTAGTATCATGTGAATAAAATAGATTTATCTTATTAACCTCTATTAGATAAACTAATGGAAACATACAATCTAGTGACATAAATAAACGTTTAATGAAAAAAAAGAGATAAGTACCACAGATAATTAATTAATTCACTGACGAAATGACAAAATTTTCAATGTTAGAATAATCATTATTATGGATGGAAACTTCATAAAATAGTCTTAGGTGAAACTTAGTCGATAAGATTCGATTTGCACTAAGAAGGACCTGACATATATGACATTGATCACCACCCCTGTGATTAATCAATTGTGAACACAACTCAGTCCTACAGGAGGTCAGTCACGTCCCGGATAGCCCAGTCTCTGACCATGAAGGTGGGTACCACGGGATAGAATCAGTCAAAAGGCATCAGTTCCCTCAAAATCATAGGCACACCTTACTGACTCGTGACAAATAGCACGAAACCTAGGTTCAGAGTCTCCTGTCGACTACCTCTAACCACCATCTTATTCAACAACCTATTAAGGTACATTGATAGATCATTACAATCGTGAGATTCAAACAGTAGACAGACTTAACTAATTTTATAATGTATTTCAACACGTTATTACTGATCTATTAAATTACAAACTGACTACATATTTGAATAAGTTAAGTAAATGAATAATCTATTAGAATCTAGAAGATAACACCATTTTAGAGATCATAAGCAAATACAAACAAATTCTTATTAATTTAATAGTTGAGATCACCACCATGGAAGACCTAGAAGCATTAGATGGCCGTTTCGTTTTAGTATTGGACTCCTCAGAAGTTTCAATTGATACATGAATTCAAATATTAAATTAATAAAAGTTTCCACAAAACCCCTTTCTAATTAAAATTCTCATTAATCTTAACTGGTAAACAATTTTTTTTATTATCTAAATTAATATTGTTTAACATTAAGTATGATATTCCTCATATGAAAAGGGGTTTTTGTGGAGATTTTAGTAATTCATTAGTTCAATTCACGAATCAACTGAATATTCTAAAGAGTCTCATACCAGAAGAAAAACGGCCGCCAAACGGTCAATTAAAACTAAATCAACGTAGAAAACCTGGAAGCATTGGATGGCTGTTTCATCCTATTACGAAACTCTTCAGCAGTGTGCATCCACGATTCCACCCCTTCCCACAAGATTCGAACCCAAGACCTATCGCTCTAGCGCGTGAACACTTAACTTTTTAAACCATTGAGCTGGCCGACATTCAATTGTGGTAATGTCTTATTTCAACCAATCCACAAAATTGCACCACCGTCCATCATTGTCTTTAAAATCTCTTGCTAGAATTCTACGAATTATCTTTTAATGTAGTCAATCACTAATAAGCAAATGATAATTATTATCAAAAAAAAAAAAATTGGATTTATATTGAAATGTTTTAGTAATAGTTTAATTGTTATCAGTGAATGATTGTTAAATCATTCATCATACATATTGATTACATCATTTACATGTATTGATTGTTATGTTATAGTTTTTTTAAAAAAAAAAACAATCATTTCATCTTTATATTGAATACAATACAATATAAATCAAACTTTATGATTATTGATTTTATTTTATGCAATTGATTATGTAATCAATCAATCAATCAATCAATCATTAATATTGATTAATTCAATTGAATAGAAATCAAATAGTAAATGATATACATCCACAATCATCACAAGAATAAAGAACCATTACAGTAATAATAAACAACAACAACAACAACAACAACAAAAAAAAAAAAAGGAATCCTTATTATGAATAAAATAAATAATCAATTAAATTATTTAAAATTAGGTATTCAATTATCAATAATTACTAAAGCACAATATCGTTATGAAGGTATATTAGCTGGTATTAATTTAATAGATAATACATTAATATTAAAAAATGTAAAATTTTTTGGTTATGAAAATCGTATACCACAGACTAATGATCATCATGATCATGATCATGATGATGATTTAAATCATAAAAATAAAATACCAATAATTGGAACAATATTTGATTCAATTACATTTTGGATATCAAGTATTGATCAAATTTATCCATTGAATCAAATTAAATTATCAAATAATAAAACTATCATTCAAACAAATCTATCTATAAGAAGTAATCAAGAGAGACGAAAACAATATACTCATTCGGTAAGTAATTGTTATAATATTTGGGGTATTTTCTTTTTTCTACTTTTTTGTCTTATAGGATGTTCATTTATCTTAGATGATAATCTACATAAGGCTCAGTGGTCTAGTGGTTAAGTGCTCGCGCACGAAGCCAGTAGGTCCTGGGTTCGAATCTCGCAGGGGGCGAGGTCGTGGATGCGCACTGCTGAGGAGTCCCATAATAGGACGAAACGGCTGTCCAGTGCTTCCAGGTTTTCCATGGTGGTCTAGCTTCAACTGACTCATGATCTTAATCATTGAAACTACATAAGATTGTTTTCTAGTGTTTATTCTATAAGACTTTAACAGAATATAAATAATCAAGAATATGTGATTAGCCTGATTACAAACCGTACAATAACAACAGTCAATAGTCAATAAGAAGAAGAACAATAGCAGAATATATAACTCATCTAGTATTTAATATCTGATTAATCAAATAAACAAACATTGTCTCCTTCGTCCATACATCAGTTATAATCGTTAAATGAATAGAATTTGATTTGTATCAGTACGATTACTTGATGAAGATGATAACGATAACTAAATAGGAATGAAATCTAAATATAAGAATAGTATTAATAAGTGACATGGATTTGAATTCGTAACTTTCTTCTATCTTCCAGAGAGTAGCTGATCACCTAAAGTCTGTAGTATTTAGCTTCTTATTGATTGTAATGTACATGTTAATGAACCAATATTTTAGTTAATATCACATTACAATCCCTTGGGCACTGTAGTCACGCTTTCATGTCATTATGACCACCTCTAATCCAATTTCCTTTTCAGGTACCTCTAGAAGAACCCTTCCACAGTGTAGGCAACCGGGAAGTGATAATCGCCCTCATACCTCTAACAGCACTCAAGACCACTGTATTCATATTCTTTAAAGTGAAACACAATAAAGATGAACATTTGTTGATACTAAACAACCAGTAATCTAAATTAGATATCTTCGAGATATTGTTTATGTGTACTGAAACTATTTTAATAAAAAAAATATTGAGCTTAAGCGTAACAATTTAAGGAAGAATGTTAAAACAAACAATGTGATGAATTCAGAACGAATGAAATAATTGAAACAAACTAGATTTGAGTAGATCGTGAACTGTAAATATAGTAATTTCAATAATCAAGATCATGAATCAATTCCAGCTAGACCATCATGGAAAACCTGGAAGCACTGGGCGGTCGTTTGATCCTAGGTCCTGGATTCGAATCTCTCGAGGCGAGATCGTGGATGTACACTGTTGAGGAGTCCCAAAATAGGACGAAACACTCATCTAGGTTCTCCATAATGGTGTAGTTTCAATTGACTCATGATCTCAACTATTGAAATTACTATAATATCCACAAAAACCCCTTCTCAAAATATAATGTTTACTGTTGCAAAACGTAATTTGGAAAATGTGTAAGACAAATTGAGCATAAAAATGATCTATATCGTCTTGAAATTATATATGAGTTTTACAAAAAGATCAGAATTCGAAAGTAAACCAATGATTAATTTTAAATATAGACACAATGTAAATTAAATACAAACAATGAAGGTTATATGAACATAGTCTAATACTTGAATTGTATCCTAAAAAACTTATCTATTTATATTTATTTGAACACGTAAATATTGGTAAGAAGGGACACCGAATACATATGCGCCACATAAATCATTTAATGTGTGTGAGGGCTGAGATATTGACCGAATGCCCAGACCGAAACAAGTGGTTTTCTTAAGGGGCCACACATGGAACCTTCGACCTTAAAATCTGAACCACAAGGCAGTGGACCAATGTTAGAAGATGCAGTCCGATGGTAGCCGGTGACCAATAATTGGTTCATACCCCCATTTATTCCTCCAGGGTCCTGAAACCCATGTAGACCATTGGTTTGAAATCAGGGCTTTCCATCTCCCCTAGGCGGAGCACCCATGTCCAGCAACCTGGTTAAAGCACCGGATATTCGCTTTTCATCCTCTCAATTTCGTAAACAACAGTAATGCCTTTAGAAGGCAGTGAGTAGGACTTCCCTGGCAGTGGCTATGTACGTGTGGCCATGTGTGAGCATTTGAAGAGGGAGAGTTGACTCTCCATCCTCGACCGTACCAGGGCATCTGGGGGCTGATTGGAATAAAATAGAATATATTTCTCTTGACGGGGTACAGAATTCTCATGCTTACGAATTACTATGCAGCATTTTAACCCGAATTATTCTTACTCAAATATTTAGATGAAATATAAAGAACAATTAACTGAGAGTAAAAATAAAGCTACCTTATATCATGATTGCCTTTATTTACAATCCACAATAGGATGATCCAATTTACAATTATGCAATCTGGATGTATAAAACATAAACTATAAGACTTTATACATCATTATTTACAAGACATGATAATCTGCGAGCCGGATCGTGAATACGCACTGCTGAGGAGTCCTACAATAGGACGGAGCAGCCATCAATTGCTTCCAGGTTTTCAATGATGGTCTAGCATCAATAGGTTCATGATCTCAATCAAAAAACTTAATAGTCTCCACAATCTTATACTGATACTTCACAGTTTATATGATCGTTAATATTTTTATCCTATAGATGTATAAATCCCTACCTATCTTCGACATCCAACTACAATGCTGACTAGTGTTGGGAATGGTTGGAATAAAGTTAGGGGCGGCCAAACCAAACCGTGGCATCAGTCCTTCAAGTCACTAACTTCTGGTCTGAGCCAAGTTAGTAGATGCAGACTACTTGGTTGGGGTCCGTGTGACTATCGTAACCAATGGGTGGGGATACGGTGTGTGACATGGCTCACAATCGATCATAATGGCGTAGCTGTATACACTCTCTGTCTTCCTTTAAACCGTGAGATTAAAATTATTTCATATTTCTTCTTCTATGAACTGATTCTTTCTTCCTGTACTATATCCTTATATAAAATCTTTATTTTATATATTACGACCACTGAATTAACTACTTCTATGAATTAAATGTTCATCTTATGTAAATGAGATATGGCAACTTGGACCGATGCACGTATGTGCCTGGTCCTATGCTGTAGCTGATTAACTGACTATTTATTTTATTTTTATTTTAACACATAGATCTTGGTACAAGAAGGCACCAAGTACATATGCGCCACACGAATCTCAATTGATTTGTGTGAGGGCTGTGATACTGCCCGGGTGCCCAAACCGAAGCAGGTGGTTTTCTTAGGGGGCCACACCCCGAGCCTTCGACCTGAATGTGTGACCCACAAGGCAGTGGAGCATCGTAAGAAGATGCAGTCCCATGGTAGCCGGTGACCAACGATTGGTTCATACGCTATTTGTTCCTTCAGGATACTGGAGCCAGCCCATGTGCACCATTGGTTTGGGATCCGGTTAAAGCGCCGGACATTCGCTTTTCGTCCTCTCATTTTCGTAAACAACACTCCCGCCACGTGAAGGCAGTGAGTAAGACTTTCCTGGCAGAGGCTATATACGCGTGGCGATGTGAGAGCATTTGGAGAGGCAGAGCGGACTCTCCCCACTCTCGGCCGTACCAGGGCATTTGGGGGCGATTAACTGACTAATATAACATCTCATTCAAATAGTTTTTTGTTTTTTTTATACTTACTGTAACTATCATTTTACATCTTTAAAATGAAAACTTAACTATATACAAGTAGGCATCCTGATACAGTTATCTCTGATTAATGCACATTTATTCTCAATGACTATAATGTAATATCAATGTAAATTCAATAAAGACAGTATTCTTAATACTGATTTCATTAACAAATATCAATCGCAGTTAATATAAGTAGCTAACTGTGGTATGATTAATCAATAAAACTATTATCTTTTATGCCATATACAATTATTGAAATCTAAGAAAAATAAAACAACTGATAAATCGAATTATAAGATTATTAAATTTTTCTTTGCTAATTTCCTTTATTCTCGTTTCCAGTGTTATGCTCCCAGGGACAAAAGACGTCTCATGGGAATAAGTTCATTTAGAAATACTGGAGATTCTTCAATTTTAAATAGTCGTAAAGATCCATCAAATCAACCTACCATACATCAACCACGTATAATGGACTCGTACTCTCGTAGAAATCGTAACGTGAGACCTTTACCGAAGCAAAGAGATTACATGCCTATGTTTCCAGTTGTTCCACACCCGGGAAACTTTTATAAGTTTGGTTATCCTCTGACTATACAAAACCCACCATTTAGACTTATGAGTAATTCTATTCCATCTAAATTTGGTCATTTAGGATTACGATATTTTAACAAAAAACAAAATCGACCTATGAGAATTCCAAACAGTAGTTACAGACAACATATCCAAAGTAGTGTAAATCCTTATGGAGTGTATGTTTATTTGTCTCCTGAAATGGCAACAACTATGCAACAAAGATCGACCAATTTTATGGCTCCTCGGTTTAGAGGGACTAGACGCCGGGTGACAGGAAGAAAATCAGCAAGGAGTAATCCCAAAGTTCGATCTAGTAAGTTAAATATTTTCGGAAACTAAGTTGTAAATCTTGTGTACTTTGTGATTAGTTGAATCTTCAATTATGGTAGCTGAGTGGAAAACTGCAGTAAGTTAGAGGTTCTACTTAGTTGAACTGAGAAAAGACTGCTTGAACCACAGTTCATATTTTTGAACCGACATACCATCTTGTCCGCCAACATCATAGACTAACAGGTTTAGTGAAAATGATGATAGCTTTTTAATGCATTCCTCTGTGAATAGGCTTAGTCTGAACAGGAATCTAAAATTACATACAGTATGAAATTGTTTCCTACATCAAATTGGTGTCTAACAAAATCTTGGCATGCACTCAGAAAGCCTGATTGGTGTTTGCAAACTTGAATCACTTGTGACTTAGGCGAGATATTCATCCGTCAACTAGCGAGCATGTATACGACTCAGCAAACCATTTATTTCTGGTTTATGGTTGTCAAAATTGACCGACGGAAGAGAAGATATGAGTAAGCCGAGAATCTTTCAATCACATGCATCTTGACGGTATTGTAGTGAACGCGAACATAGGCGGGAACAAACAAATGTATTTTAATACATTACGGAATATTTTGGTAAAATCTGAGAACTACACAGTAAATATTAAAAATATACATCAATTGTCTGATACTGTGTTGTTCCTTCATTTAGATTACCAATAACTCACTGTCATCATTCTCTTCTCTTTAATTTTTTTCAACTTTCTGCCGCCAGGCATTCCGCTATCGATTGATGGTACATACTATTTATATCTGTCCACATCAGTAGCACATATCACAGTATTGCTAGAGTTTCGTGAAACGACAGATTGAGCAATGTTGAAATTATACACGGGATTCTTGAAAAGGTGGTAAATTAATTGATAAAATTGTAAATCTATATCGAAATGTGTTACGCATAGCTAACCAGCGCCTTCTTCGACAAGCGATGCGTACTAGTCCAAACACAAATTGGAAGGCTAGGGAAGACTAAAGCAAGACGTGGCATCAGTTCATAAAGTCACTGAATGTTGGTCTAAGTCATGTAATTAGATAAAGACTACCTGGTTAAGGTTCACGTGATAACCAGGATTAGTGATTGGAGACTTTGTGTAACATGGCTAATAATCGTTTACAGTGGCACAGATACATCTACCTTTCGTCCATTCCTTGATCATGAATTCTAGTACCTCTTCATGTATTCTTTTCTGCTGACTTATGAAACATTCTGAAGGTTGGATTCTACTTTTTATTAAGGCTACTAAATTATTGCGATCTTCTTAATTATCTTTATCTCGTCAAGCTTATTTGGTAATAACAACATGGGTCAACACATCTATAACAGGCACTATGTATATGACGTCTGTCAGTCTACACGGTGAAGTTGGAAAATATTGCTTTACACATTTCTATTTTTTTCTATTTGAAAGGAGAAATAGATTGTACTAAACCATATGATTTTGAAATGGCAAATGCTGAACTAGAAGCCGAGTTGGCTAAAATGAACTTAAATACGGATGAAGATTCAGTAAGTCGAGAGAACTCGGAGGTAGATCAAACTGTTAGCGAACGGCCAATACTGTCGACAGCAGCAAATAACGCTTCGAGATTACAAACCAATCCCAATACTTTATCTGGGGAGTCACCTTCAGGACTAGTTAGTTCTACTACGGCCAATAGCACAAATGTTCTCATTTCTGAAAACAAACGTTCATCTGAGAGTAAAGAAACTCTATCTAAGTGAGTTTAATCACTGAAATATAAGTAAGCATAAGTTTTACGCCCTTTGTTATTACCGAAAATAGAACTATCTCAAAGAAAGGGGCTACTGGAAAATACTTCAAAACTAATTAACGAACTCAGGGAAGAAACAGTGAAACTGATTGAAGACAATATGGCTTCATAGTTTCGCAATCTTATTGATCTTATTTATTTTATTTAAACATATAAACATTGGTACAAATGGGCACCAAATAGATAGGTGCCGCATAAATCATTCGATGTGTGTGAAGGCTGAGATACTGGCCGGGCACTCAAAACAAAGTAGATAGTTTGATTAGGAGGCCACTCCCCGAGCCCTTGACCTAGAGGTCGAACCCACAAGGCAGTGGACCAACGTTAGAAGATGTAGTCATATAGTAGCCGGTGACTAACAATAGGTCCATACGTCATTTGTTCCTTCAGCATACTGGACTCATGTACACCACTGGTTTAAAATCAGGGTTTTCCAACTCCCCTAGGCGAACCCTTCATGTCCAGCAACCCGAGTAAAGCACCGGATATTCGCTTTTCGTCCTCTCAATTTCGTAAACAACAGTAATGCCTTTAGAAGGCAGTGAGTAGGACTTCCCTGGCATATTCATCTTAAATCTTATTACAAAAATGTTCAGAACTTATTAGATCTGGAAGCTATACTTATTGACTTGACAAAAATCATTATTCGATACTGTTTAATAAATTACAATGAACCATAAATAGAAGTAAAGAATTCTCATTCAGTACAAAATTTTAATAATTCAATTAGTTACTACTCACTCGTGTACATGATGAATGATATTAATAACTTATAAATCTCTCCCCAAAGATATTTCTAGAAACTTTAGTTTTATGCATCGTTAAGAGTTGTTGATTGTAAAACGTTTAGTATATATATATATATATATCTTGGAAGTCTGATCAGCCCTAATGGGTTGGTGTCTGACGAAATCTCAGCACGGATTCGAAAAGCTCGTTTGGCCTTTGCCAACTTACGTCACCTATGGCGAAGGCGAGATATCCGTCTATTAATTAAGGGACGGGTATACTGCGCGGCAGTTCGTTCCGTTTTACTATAAGGCTGCGAAACTTGGCCTTTAAGAGCAGAAGATATTCGTAAGTTACTAGTATTTGACCACAGATGGCTTAAAAATATTGCGGGTATCTGCTGGGATCACTAGGTAAGTAATAGTGAGGTTAGACGCAGGGTATTAGGGAATGATGGTAAATCAGTTGATGAGGTTATGAACCTTCATCGACTGAGATGGTTGGGCCACGTGCTGCGTATGCCTGAACACAGATTACCACGACGCGCAATGGTAACCGGTGTTAATGATGACTGGAAGAAAGTTAGGGGTGGCCAAACCAAAACGTGGCATCAGTGCTTGAAGTCACTAACTTCTGGTCTGAGCCATGTTGGTAGATTCAGACTGCCTGGTTGGGGTCCGCGTGACTATCGTAACCAATGGTTGGAGACTCTTGGTGACATGGCTCAGAATCGATCACAATGGCGTCGGTGTATACACTCTCTGTCTTCCCTTAAACTAAGAGATTAAAATCACTTCAAATCTTTCTTTCTACGAACTAATTCTATCTTCCTGTACTATCTCCTTATGCATACTCTTTCTTCAATATATTACCACCAATGAATTAACTACTTTTATGAATCCGGTGTTCATCTTGTTGTGCTAATGCGGTATGGCAACTTGGACCGATGCATATACGTGCCTGGTCCTACGTTGCAGCTGATTGACTGACTAATATATATATGCTATTATCATGTAATGGAAAGTGACATGTCAGAAATAAGAAACGATCACTAGGCTGAAATGTAATAGAATAAATACATTGAATACAATCGGAATTTCATGGCAATATGTTATAACAGTTAGTTTTTCTTGTTTACAGGTATGGGACGTTAATTTACTTTAGATGAACATCTACACTAGATTCCCTCTTATCATAATATATATATTTCATCGTCTTTATCATTAAAATAACATACTTGTTTTACCCAATTCTAATCCGTTAGTAATGTTCAATGTTCACAATATGTATGACTTTTTTTTAAAAAATATATGACCTTAAATAAACAAATTATAAGGGTTGGAAATATAACTTCTCTAATACTATGTATAATTTTTTCGAGGTAATCTTTCAATACAGATATACAGTATACAGTACAGAAATGATAACTAAGCTCTATGGAAGAGTTAGAACTAGAATTATTGAATATATTAGACATTACATATATTGGATAATAGTGCTTAAGTGTAAATTTGATTAATATGAATGTAACTACATACTGAATGATTAGTTTCAGATTCTCATATAGTTGCTAGTCATTGCATCTATATTTCATCTAACATATGTTTAGTTAAACAATGGAATCGTTATGATTCAAATGTAGTTAAGTTATTTATGGAATATTCCTTTGATTTGAACTTACATAATGATAGATCCTAATTTAAATACAACTTTATATTTGTATATTTTGAGGTGTTTATGAGTTCATTTTAAAATCATAAAATGAAATATTTGTTCAAATTTCAGAGGTGAATACTATGTTCGAGAAAAGTGCTTTTATGATCAAATAAGTAGGTCAGATGGACGACCAAAATGTCCTACTGACCTTCATGGTGGACGGAGAAAATATAATAAATCAACGAATAGCCATTATGATATTAGTTTATCAACACCTGGACGAACATCCAATACAAACAATACCATGTCTCGAATTACTCGAGCTTCATCATTTAAAAGAGAACGTCTATTGAATTTTGAAACTTTTGGTCCAATGGCAGCTAGGAGACTTTATTGGTCACAAAGAAAAAGTTCTCATTGTCCTCGTCACTTATTAGTTTCTGCATCAGCATAGGAAAACAGGATTAACGTTGATAAAACTATTATATGAAAATGGTTTATTCAGTTTATTCATATAGTTGATTGATTGTTTGATAAAGTTATGAACAATATGATGAACCGATAAATATTCTAACTAAAATGAACTTTGTTAATTCTGTTTAATATTCTTAAATGATGTTCTCTTGTGTTTATTCAAATCGATGTGTTGTTTGTTTGTTTTTTTTTCTTTCATTTGTCAATAAGTAGGCAGTAGTAAAAGTGAATCATTTGTTTCCAATTTATTTGGAATTTATATTTCCAATAATAAGATACGTTGAACATGAATATGGTAATAATTACAGTGATGCAGTAATACGTTGCCTAGTTTTATTTGTGATAGTTTTTTTATTATAGTTGAAATTATGAGTCAATTGAAGTTAAGATCACTATGAAATACCTGAAAGCATTAAACAGACATTTCATTCTATGATGAAACTCTTTAGTAATGTGTATCTACAATTCTGTCTTATGAGATTCATATCTAGAACCTATCCATCTTGTGTTTGAACGTTTAATCTTTAAACTATATTACCATTCAATCTAAACATATCGTATAATTATTGAACCACATGAAAATAACACTATTATTAATTATTCCAATCACAGTTTAAAACAAATCAACATACATAAATAAAATTAGCTTAAAGAATTCGAATCAATTCAGATGAAATGAAGTAGTTCAAGTGAAGATGAACAATGTAATGTTAGTAACAGAAATGTTTAACACGACTAAGTGTTGATATATATTCACCTAAGTAATAATACTTACATTGAAATTAGATTTTAAATAACCACGAATATTTCAATAACATGCTGTTTTAATAAGGTACAGATAACATTTAACTGTACATTATATTCAGGTAAAACAAATAAACAAACAAATTATCAGAAGAGGTGTTGTGGAGATTATAGTAATTTCAATGATTAAGATCATGAATCAGTTGAAGGTAGACCATCATGGAGAACCTGGAAGCACTGGACGACCGTTTCGTTCTATTATGGGACTCCTCAACAGTGCGCATCCACGACCTCTCCACGGTGAATTTGAACTCAGGACCTATCCATCTGGTGCCAGGCGTTTAACCAACTCAACCACTGAGCCGGTATCCAATGGTGTTAACGTCTAACTTCAACTAATCCACAAAATTGAGTGACACGTCCAAGTTTTCCATGGTGGTTTAGCTTCAATTGACTTATGATTTCAACTATTGAGAAATTACTACAATCTCCACAAAACCCCTTCTGATACTGATATTTCTTTGTGTAATATACAATGCTGTAATGAAGTATGATTAAGTAGTAGGGTGTTGAATGCCTTAGCCCTACAGTTCTGTCACGTTATGGATTGGTAGCACATTATTAACTAACCGATGATCGTATCATTCAAATACACGTTATTCGTTTCTGTCTCACTAATAATGCAAATAATATATCTACTTTTTTTTTCTTTTCATGATACTTCTTACATATATTGCCATCTGAAGTAAAACCTACTGTATTATGACAGATGTCTCTCAAATTTATTTATGGTTATAACTTGTGGGTTTATGACCCTATCAATGTATAACGTAAAAAAAAAAAAAAACAACAACCGAAAACCATAGTGAATATGAAATATGATCAATTGATGAAAACTGATAAAACGAAAGATGAAAAGTGACAGTCAAAACCAGAGAAGATTTTCAAGACTATCACAATATACATAGAGTAAAATAATAGTATCACTATAAATTACCAATATTTTTTATTATCTTAATGATTCATAAATAAGTGTAATTGATAATCAGCTCAATGATAATAATCTATATGTAAAACAAATAAAATAAAGAATAAATAAAAAATGATAAAGGTAGGATAGAACTCAAACTGTAAATATCTATAAAAGCTAATTAGTAATCCAAAGGGTATAAACAACAAGACATTGACAAAAACAACCAACATACACATGAGAATACTAAGTTCATTTATCAAAGTTATTAGTAATAAAAAAAAAAAAATTTTTGGCAAACACCAAACTACAAAAAGCAACAAGAAATAAGCTAAACAACCAGTTAATTTTAAAAATAAACAATAAAGACCACCTAAGAAGATAGCAACGAAAGAAAAATTACATAAACAAAACACAAGTCTACAATATTAGGGATACCTATTCACAAAGAGGCACTACTATCTTAATAAAAATAACCTGACTACTTCACTGACATTAACTCACCTACTACACTTTATTCATATCCTATTTCTAAGTGTTTTGTATTAAATGTTGTATATGCAGTGTGAAACTCAACACCTCCTCAATACATAACTGACTATCACTTCAAAAATTAATTTCATTTATTCATTATCATTATCATCATTTATTAACCACATATGAGGCTTTATGTTCAAGTCGTAAGTGATTAATTCAATCAATTCTCATTGACAAATAGATTACCCACGCGTTCAACTTATGTGTGCATAACATTTAGCGTCGCCATTGAAAATCCACATTCCCATATTAAACATCATCGTTCACAAATTCCAAACTTGTGCAACCAATCAACTACATATATGAAGACCTCTAGAACATAGTGGACATGATCAGAGGGTGAAAATAATCACTAAGATTCTACTTGTCAATTCCAGATAATCACCACTCAAATTAAAACTTCTCGGCTATTCCCAGTTACATTGATAAGTCAGTCAATAGTTCGTGAACTCACAAATCAATCTATTATTAAATATCATCTTAGTAATCTGTTTATTAACTGGAGAATGTTTATCTACACATGTTTATATATGGAAATATCTCTTTTATCTCGTTTTCATGGTGCGTAATTTCACGACAAATTCATAAATTATCCAAATGACATGAACCGGTACAAAATTCTCAGGTGGTTTGTTAAATCACTTGAATTCAGTCAAGTCCAACTTTGCAGTCATGGTTCACACAGACACAAACACACACACACACACACAACGAGGTTACTGATTTTAACACTGTTTACCCTCTGTGTTGTGGTTAATTCTTTCCTTCTTGCACACACCAATATGAGTGTGGTCTAAAAAATATACCGCTCACATCAATAGGGTTTATCCTGATTTTAACGCATAATCTCGACTACGCCGTTTGCTGAACATCAATCGATCTTCAGTTGGATTTCCGGTATCAAGTCTGTGACTTTTTTAATTTCCCTCATTCATTTGGTATTTGTTATATGTATTGTTCTAGAGTTCAACTCTTTTGTGCTTACTTTTTTTATGCAATAACTGTTGCCACAGCAATTTTTACCGCCCAACACTTTTTCAGTTACCGACCACTCATCTGAGCCATTTAAATCAGCCTCATCAGATGATTAACACTTTTAGTAATGAGTATTGTCATTTGATCCATGATTCGTGGTATAGAAAGCCCTTGTAGAAACATAAACTGCTTTAGCGAATTCGCATTAAATGAACTCGCCAACGTAACAATATAGAAAATACATATTTCTACATATCTCATAATTCTGAATAATTAAATTACTTAATATTTTAATATCAATAGTAATAACGGTCCATGACCAACCAGTCACAAACCATCACTTATGCAACGACTTAACATCCATTAGTTAAATTAGTGTCATCCCGCTTTCTTTGCACCTTAAAACGAAATCTTGCACGCGGCAGTTATTAACCAAACAGTAATCAATATACTAGGAGCCTTAAACTCTTGTTCCGTTTCAACAATACACAAGTAACCGATTATAAACAAGTGCAAATTATTACAATCAGACTTAGATCAAGTAGAGAATTTGAGAATGTTCAATTATTTTGAGCAACATTTCTTCGCGTCTAGTTTGTATTCATTTCCAAACAGTAGAAATGTACAGAATACATTAAATAACAATTATTTCAACAAGCGGTTGCTACAAGCTATAGCATACTTATAAAAGAACTACAAAACAACTAGCTTCCGTAAACCCCTATTCATCACATCTACTTTCCCATAATGTTACGATTTAGGTAACCTATATACGTTTAATGTAAGTAAAACCATTTAGAAAGAATATAATACCTGAATATAAAGCGGCATTGAAACATAATCATGAAGTGTCCTTGTATCTTCCTAAACTATTGCGAACATGGTATTCAGTCGAGTAACTTTATTTCCCGGCGTTATTTCACTCAACTTAGATACCACTTTTTGTTCACAAGTCAAGGCAAACAGGTTATTCCACAAAACGATATACAACAGAGAATTTAATAGATCATTAGGAGTTTTGATTGTTACATTTACCTAACTCAATCTATCACTTGGAAATTAACATGAGCGTTGCTTAATTTGACAAAACTTAAGGTTCATTTACTTGTTAAACACAAAAAGAAAAAACTTGTCTCCAGTTCGGTCCAGCTCAAACGCATAACACATCAATATCAACGTCAATATCAAAAATACTTTAAACAACAGAGCCTTATTTGTAAACAATGAGATGCTGAAAACTTCAATTAAATTAGCTAATACTAGGTTCGTCAGTCCAGAAAAAAAAACACATGAGAACTAAGCATTGGAATAAGTAATAACAGATGACTAACCGACAATGAAACTATTGTAATAAACGACTAACATCTATAACTCATTTCCACACCGAGGTAATCACCACGTTTCGAGGCTTATTTTCCTTCCTTCCTTTACCCTTTCCGTTTTTCTTAAAACATGACTAAATAAGATCTACGCATGAGTCCATAACAACAACAACACGACCTGAGCTGAGCTGAGCTGTAATATTCTTTTTTACTTGATGGGCGCAGCTATTTTCCATAAAATACGCTTACATGATTGAGCGTTTATGGCCTCACAACATTATTGTGGTGAGTTCTTCTACTAAAGGGAAGGATAGTACATGAATGTCCGGTGGTGAAGTCAGTTTAATGCATAACATAATTGGAAAACCTCGAATATATTATCGCCTTGATCGTGAGTGAGTGAGTGAATGAATGATGTGTGAACGCACATCT